TGTATCTAACTAACTGCCTGTTCTTAGCTGCTTCAATTATCTTACTTAAATGTCTTTTTCAAAGCCACTAACCATGAGGCCTTTCCTGTTTCCTCAGTGTTCGGCTCCGTGTCTCATGATCCTTAAAACTAGAAAGAGCTGTCATTACTGTATTGGTGGTTTGGATGAATGTGGGTGGTTCATGTTTTTGTGTAAATTGGATATTGTCTCTCATTTGCACGCATTTCTCACCTTTTCCGTTTCCAAATCTGTGGGACGGTGACGTGCCTCCTCCTGGCACAGACACCTAACACCTGATGCTGGGTGAGCCGAGTCTCTAGGCTGGTAACTGCTGATTACGCGCAAAAAAGTAATTCTCTGTGCTCTGTGTTTTCTTTCTAAAAAGTAGCACAAGTGCCTGGGAGGCCATTTCCTTGGTGATATATAATATAAAGGAATACAACAGCTATTCATAAACTCAATCAGCAAGCAGCATAGCCTAGACATTTGCTAGTAACCTCATCATTTCTAGGCCGCCTGAAATGTTATTCTAACAGATTCTGCAAAAATTAATGTTGTAAGAAAGTTTTTTAAAAGATTTCACTGTCAATTCCACCTCATTATTAGTTTTTCCCCTTCGCCTGGCCAATATTGGGTGTTACCAGTGTTTTTAATTTTCGCAGGTCTGACAGGCCAAACTTTAAAAAAGAAGGTATCTTGTTTTTGTAAATTTATGTTTCTTTTTTCATGTATTTATTGACTGAACTGCATATTTACAGCCCTTGCTCACCTTTGTATGGGTTATTTGTCTTTTTCTTCCTAATTTCTCTCTTTTTCCCATTGTCACTCCCTTGGTTAAAACCCTTCTTAACAGTCTTGAATTCCTGCCACAGCCTCCTGATTTTCCTTCCAACTCATCCACACCTTTGCTGCCAAAGTGGCCTTTTGAAAACAAAAATGTGATAGTCTCCAGCTTAAAACCTTTTGTGGTCGGGAACCTTAGTTGCCTAATATCCTTTATTTAATTTCATTTCTGCTTGAGACTAACTAAAATGGGTCTGGCCCTTCAGAGAAGTTGATTAAAGTTGATTAAAGGTATAAAGGTAGCCCACAGGATCTACCTATGAGGGCCAGACAGCCCCATTCTGAAGCAACACCGTCAGCACAGCCTCAGCCACAAGGTGGGGACAGCTTTGGTCCATGCAGCATTCCAGCTGCTGTCTCTGATGCTCAGGGCCAGGGTTAGCCGCTGCCCCCAGCCTGCGGAAGATTGACGGCCTGGCACATAGATGTAACCCTGGCTGCTCCTTCTGAGGTTTCTACAAGGCACACATCCCATGGCTGTACCCTAGTTGAAGGTGAGGTGGGGGATGCAAAATGTTTGTCATTCACCTTAGGAAAGTGGGACTTATAAAATGTGGAAAAGTTACCAAAACACAGGGAGAAGGTGGTCAAAACTTTGAGGTGGGTAGCCACAAGTTACGAATATCCACTGAAGTTTTCCTCTTTCATGAACTTTAAAACAACAACAACAAGCTATTGGCAACTACACAGCTTTCCTAACTGTAAGGAAATGTGCTCAGCATCTCCTCCAAGAGAGATAACCCAAAGTCCCAAGTCCTACCTCCAAGTCCAGGATTTCTGAGTGATGTTTCTTCCACTAGTTCATTCACAGCCTGTATTTATTAGCTTATTGACTGAATCATAAAGTTAACTATTATTAATATATTTTGAATAAAATAGTAAGGAAACAGAATGCCAAAAACTATATTAACATATGACAGTATACATGGCACAGCAAGGAAGATAATATTCGAAGATGCTGCCATTCTAATATCTGTAACTAGTCACATGAAATAAATAGCTGGTGTTTATATCTCCCCTTCTCTAATATTTATTTCATATTTCCTTTGTCCTTAGCCAATAAATCTGCTAATCAGGATTCTTTACCTGGCAAGGTGATCCAGACCTTCATTCCTGAAGGACTTGAGCCATCAATGGCCCAGCCTTTGTGAGGTTGTCATCGTTTTCATTACCATTTCATTCCCTGGATCCAGGAACCATGTAATGTGGCCAAGGGAACACATTGTTCCGCTGGTCAGAGACATTAATATATCTTTACCCCAAGTATTACAAGGTCCTGCCTTGCCGTTTGTATCATAACTAAAATTTCAGTAGACCTTTTCATCATTGTATAAGGCCAACTACATTTGAGCCTTGCTAGATAGCTAAGTAGGATTATTGGATTTTGAGTCCAGTGCCTTATTTTGTAAACTAAGTTTCTTGGTCGGCAGCACTGTGGTGGTCATGATGAATGAGGCCTTCAGTAAGTCCATGGATGATATGGCTTTCAGAAACATGGCAGGCACAGAGGACACATTCAAATCCTGAAGATAAGTCATTGCCTTTTCTGTGGTGAAAGAAGTCTAATATAATTGACCCACCACTACTGGTCCATCTCCCTGTGATATGAGAGCTGGTGAAAGGCTCACAATAATTGCTGCTGCCGACAAATTAAGCACTTGGATAGCTCAGCCTGGATGAGGTTAAGTCCATGTTGTGGAGTCCAGGCATTCTTGTCACCATGGCCACATGGCTCACGAGCCCTTTGAGCAGACAAATTGGCATCTGGGGAAAGAGACTGTCTAGGATCCATGGGGCAGTTCATCTTGTCCAGCTCATTATAAGAACTTCTTTTTAATGGAGCCTTTTGGAGAACATTTACATAAGATACAAATATTTCATTCTATATAACTTTCCCCCAAATGTTATGTCATCATTCCTTCTGAGTTCCTGCCTATGAATGAATATATATGGATGATGGGTGTGTATGTGTGTGTGCATTTGTGTCTAATGCCCTCTTTCCTTACATGCCCCAAATGGACCCAAATATACTATTTACCATTCTGCCCCCTGGACAGATTTCCCTTCTTCATGCCAAGTGAGGTTATATCATTGCATTCATTCACTTCTGGTTGATACCATCTATTGGGAAGAGCCATTGATTAGGCACAGATTTTTCTCTGCTAGTAAACTGGTCATTCAACATATGAGTTTTGGGGGACATAATTCAACCCATGATATATAGGTTAAGTAGGATCTAAGTGTTCTCCATCTTATTTTGAGTTAATGGATATGATCAGTTAACCAATAAGTCAAAAATGTCTGAGTCAGGCCACTGACCTGGTTTCTATCAAGGCTTCCACTGGGTCATGGCTTTCTAGTGGACCAAGTGTCTTGCTCAGCCAAGGGCTTTAGTTGACTGCAAATTTTGGGCACCCCCATTACCAGGTGACCCATCCACTCTTGGGCTTTGGTGGTCTACAGACAACCTGCCTGTCCTAATCATCAGCCTTTCCAGCAACTAGTTCTCACTCCCTGAGGAGTATCCCTCACTCCCAACGTGGCTGTCTACTCAGAAACAGTCCTGGTAGCAGTGTTCTGCCTACATTGGGCTTCCGTCATTATGCAGAGGGTCCCTTGGAACACAGGGCAATCACTTGGCACAGATTGACATCTTACATAGATCAGCATGCATACAGATCGTCTCTCCTAGCATCCTTTAGCTACCTTGTAGCTGCATTCCAGCAGAAGGACCCAGTTCTTCCACTGATCAACTATTTTTTTAATCCTCACCTGAGGATATGTTTCCAATTATCTTCATATAGAGTGGGGGAGAGGGGGAGGAGAGAGAGAGAGGGAAACATTGACATGAGACACATTGATTGGCTGCCTCCCACACAACCCCGAAGAGAGCCTGGTACTGAACCGCAACCGAGGTACGTGCTCTTGACCAGAATCAAACCCGCGACTCTTTGGTCCATGGGCCAACACTCTAACTGCTGAGCCAAACTGGCCAGGGCTGATCAACCTTTTTTATTGAGCAAGCATGAAAATGAGGTTGTTAGGATGGTGGCAAACATTTTAGTCTCAAGTTCAGGCACAGAGCCGTCTGGCTGTTCAGGAGAATGAGAATGCTGGGCAAGCCAGCTGCCTAGTACCCAGAGACTGGCAGCTCTGCAGCTGGACCTGTGGAAAGCTGAGGAGCCTCTCTTTCCTATGGGGAGGAGATCTATTGATTCCAGATGGCTTTGGTCAGGCAACCCTGTTCTAAAGAGAGCTCCTGTGGTCATTTATCTGCTTATCACATGATATCTCACCTCTGGGCCTTTGCACATGCTACTTCCTCTCCCTGAAACTCCCTTCTCCTTACTCCACTGGGCCAGCTCCTTATCATCGTGCAGGTGTGTGCTTAGTTGTTACTTACCCTGAGAGCCTTATCTGATTCCATGCATGGTCTTTCTAGGAAGCTGGTCCTTCCTTTCCCATTTGCCTGGTGCACCTTAGACAATAGTAGCCCTCATTGTCCCCTGACTCCCAGAGGATAAGGGGCTTGTCCTGTTCCGTACCCAGGGAAGAATCGGTCACTCAGGAGGAGCACACGCATTGGAAGAAGTAAAGGAATGAATGGTAATTTCTAGTCACTGGTCATGTGTTTCTTTGCTAAGGCTTTGGGGCATGCTTTCATTGCAACATCTCTTTTCCCTTCAACAAAAGGCAGAGACGAAAGTGGTCTGTGAGTTACAAATTATTAAATGGTTTTTCTAGTTTGGTTACAGAAAGTCAAAAACCACATCCTACCCCACTGTAAGATTAGCTGCACTATCTTCTGACTTTTCTGCAGTTAGGGCCAAACATCTCTTCCTTGCAGCCCTATCCCACCCCAGGTGTCCTTGAGCATTACCACCCCTACCACTTACCTGTTACTGACCTTCAGCCTGCTAGGTTCTGGGTCTCCCACAGAGCCATGGTGGATCTTCAGGGCAGCCCTTTCCAGCCAGCATTCTTAACCCTGTTCTGAAGAGGATGCCAGATTCAGAGTTCCAGCAACTTGCTCAGGGTCGCATAACTAGTAGGCATCAGAGGCAGTAAGAAAACATGTCTGTCTGATTTGTCTTGTCTTCCCTTCTTCATTATCCCTATTAAGGAAAATGGTGTGTGTGTATTTTTTTTTTTTTTAGATGAAAATTTCCTCTAATCATGAAAACAAAACTGACTTCAAATTAACCATGGGGAAGCCAGGAGCACTGTCCTGCTTGAACTACCATATGGGTATCTTTGCTTTACATTTTATATCTTCTATATTCTGATCACAATTGGAAAGGGGAAAATGGACTCCAAACAGAGCTCATCTTCTAGCTCCAAACACTTATTTTAATGCAGTGTCTAGATACTAGGAGTACACTACATTTTTGTACTTGTGGAGCAGTAAAAAAATTTTTTTACTGCCTATTATCCTATTCTCTATAACCTTTTCTTACAGTTAACATCTAAGAAACCCAGTCCTTTGGAAAATGCCATAAAATAAATTAAATTTTCCTGGGTACTGTGGTTTCTGTTTGCAATGGGTTTTTTTTTTTTTTTTTTTTTGGCTTTTCTTCTAAGCTGAACTCTCCTCTAAAATCTTAGCTTAAATCTCCAGCCAAAGTGTGTAGCTGTCTGCTCGTTCCTTTGTGGCATCCAAGGTATCTTCTGTGAACGTTCAGGGCTGAATTACCAGGCTTCCTCTCTCTTCATCGACACCCACGCAGCGTTCTGCGGTGGGGCACATTACCACCATGTTAGGAAATCAGTGGGTGTTCACATAACAAGAGAAGAAAAAGATGAGAATTGCCAAAGCAAGCAAGTTCTTCCTATTCTTCCCTGTGTCTGAGAAATATCTCCTCCTTCCCCCACGCCCAGTGCCTGGTACCTGCCAAAGAAAGCTTTCTCTCTGCTCTTCAGACACAGGCCTGGTTGTGAGCCCTTCTTGGTGTCCCCGTGGGTGAAAATTTGTATATATACTGTTTGTTTTGGTTTGTATTTATTTTCCCAGCCCATTGAAAACAGGGCCTTTTCCTATTTAAAATAAATTTTGGAAGTGAAACACTTTTCCTTTGGAGCCCAGCCCTGCCTCCATATAAACCATCAGGAATTTTCAGAGAGGACAGTGAAAACTTGTTCTGAAACTCCATCTCTACCCATTCACAGTAACCTCCTTTTCTTCACATTTACAACAGTAAACGTTACTGTACGTCCAACAACTGGTAACCCTGACAAAACACAGGCCCTTGACAAATACTACTAACTTCAGCAGTCACTTGTGATGTGTGTCAGCCATTCCCGCGGAGTGCTGGCATTTGTCCCTGTTGTCTTGCTTGTCAGTGGTAGGAATGGAACCACACTCCAGTCACAGGCGCAGTGATGTAGGGACTTCAAACTTTCAGAGTCACTCATGTACAGCTGAAAGAGGAAGGGCTAGGCACTCATGTGGTTTTATAAACAGCAAAACAGCACAACATATTTTCAATTATCTGATGTTCTAGTGACTGTTCTTAATATTTAGATATTATTTTTTCTATTCAAGCTCTTTGCACATAGAAATGGATTTCACTAGACCTGTCCTAGGGCACAGTGGAAACATGTGTTTCCTCTTTACACATGTGTTTCAATAGCTTTGGTTATTATTTACATTTCTTCCCATAAAGTACTCAATCAAAACATTTCTAGCCTTTCATCCACACATGAGAAGCTTAAAAGGGCAATAATGAAAGCAAGTGCCTATAAGCCCTCTGGTGAATGTGCCAGTTTCAGCAAAGATTATTTTTCCAGAATGGGCAATTTGTAAAACTTAAAGTTTTATTCTATTTATAAAAAGCGTGTTAATGTAGCAGTGACAACACAAGGTGCTTTGCATTCTCAAAAACTGGGGTGTCTTGGCTAACCAGTTCTTCCAATAAATGAAAAGAAAATACCTAAACTTTTAAGGGTAATGTTCCCACTTGTTATAGTCACCTGTTATGGGCATTGCCAGAACTGCAATGACTGATTTTTTTATTTACCTTTTAATTTTACAAGAAATTCAAACACACACACACACACACACACACACACACAAACACACCCTGGTGTACAAAACTTCAAAAAAAAATTAGGATTCTTTTCACCACACCAGGAGGTTGTCTATTTGAACCACCTAGAAGACCTTTTCAATGTTAGTATAAATCTTATTAGATTAATTCTACTGGCCTGAGTAATCTGCTTTCTCTCCCACTCTGCCCTTCTTCCTTAAACCCTGCCCCACACATAAGAAAGACAAAGATTGTCCCTCATAAACAAAATCTGCACTGCCATTGCTTAGTTTCAGATGCACTGCCAGTGCTGGGGGGGCTTTTATGGCGATGTAACCCTAGAGTTACTTTCAAGTCTGCTTGGGCTTGATCACTTTTACATCCAGACTCTGCTTCCAAATTTCTGCACAGTCTGTAAATGGAAAGTTCCAGATAACTTTACCAAATTTCTAGAACCCAAATTTCTTGTATTCTAGAAAGACCTTTATGATTAAAATGGTAGTTGCAAGACTTTTTTTTTTTCTTTTAGGAGTTGTCCTATTTGTCTGAGAGTCCTGCCCATTTACCCGTTTTATGAAAACTAACAGTTTGTTACTAGATATGTCAAAGGCAAATCCTGTTTGGTGGTCAGGTAGAACTGGTTCGAACTTTTGCCCTACTAGGAGTGGGAGAATTTAATGGGAGAGAGTCACCTGTCTATTAAATTGATCACAGGGATGAGGTAAAACCATTCTGTTGGTCATCTATTTGTTTTGACACAATATTTCAAATGGTAATACCTGGGTAGGGGGCCTATAGTTCTCCCAGTTCACCCAGTGACTATCGTGGTTTATCCCAGCATTTTGGTAATGTGTCCCCGTGGGCACTGGTTTTAATATTATCAGAATGGTTTGGCTACCACATTGTGTGTGTGTGTGTGTGTGTGTGTGTGTGTGTGTGTGTGTTTGGGGGGGGGGCGAGTGAGGGATAGGAGGCACAAAGAGAGAGTGGGACGTCTACAGGACTGTACTTCTTTGGCATGTCCCAGATAAAGTTTTAAGAAGTGGCAACTTCTCCTGTGCTTGACAGATAACAGTGAGGAAAGCTTTCTTCTCCATGCGTAGTACTCATAAAGCTGTGGCCTTTTCTCAGAGGTGTTGCATATAATTTTTTAATGTGTGGGATGACAAGGTGTAGTGGAAACTATTTACCTTGGCATGCACTATTTGTTTCTCAGGAGGTCTGTGTTTGTTACGTAAGAGCAATAGCCCTCCGATGTCTACGAAGTGCCTGTAATAGCATTTACCAGCTAGCTTGTCTGTTCCCTTTAAATTATTTTCCTATGGCCAGCCTGTCCGATCACAATGCCAATATTTTAAAATTTGTGGTAAATGAGTTTCACATTGCTAATATTAATAACTTGAGAGAGAAGATAGATAGTAGTTATCTAACAGATTAAGTATCTGTAAGAACCTTTAATTTTGAAGGGTATAGAGGATGAGTGAAGAGGCCCTAGTATAGGAGAGAGAACACATTAGTTTAACGCTTTGGGACTGAGATTCGCTAACTAAATATCTTGGGAATTTTGAAGGCTACAACCCAAATGATGATTAAAAACCAGAGAGCTTTAATTTTCAAATTCCCTGACATGGCACCCTAATTATTCTAATTACTTAGAATAAAAGTGGAGAATCTAAAATTATATTTTTTGAAGTTACTATATTCAGTTTGCTACTTCTAACTGTTTATAATCAAAATAATTTTATATTCACTATGACTTTTATAAACTAGGCAGGGAGTCTTTGTTCCCTTTGGTACAGCAGACATTTATATTGTTCTTAAATGAATTTGCCACAGATTTCTGAGTGAGGTGGTTGTTTGTGAAGCATTGTGAACCCCTGGGCTCTTCCCAGGGAGTTGAGACAAGGCATATTTAATAATTGCTCAGGTACACTTAATTGTGGAGCTTGTTTATATTTGTTGTTCTACCACAGTTGCTGTTATTACTTAGAGCCTAAACTCCAGTCAGTTTCAAATTTATTTGAGCTTTGTGATCATGAACTATTTATTTAATGGGAAACGTGGCTTAACCTATTTTGTGAAATGTTCTTGAGAAAATTATCCATGTCTGCATTAAGCAAAAATCAAACTAGCATCACATAATCTCAAACACAAAAAATGAATTCCTAGAAGAGATGCTAGTTTTAACTTTGAGGTTAAGATCAAATTGCAGGTCCTGAGTCAGAGATTGGTGTGTATACACACATAAATGTGTATGCTTGTGTGTGTGTCTATGTGTACAGATATAATGTAGATATACCCACAAATGTAAGTTGCTACTAAAGAAAATAACAATCACAAGGCCTGAAAGGAGACACCAAAAATATGATTTCCCTGCAAATATTTGAAGGAATGTTACTTAATTGCAACCAGAAGTCTGACCTGGAAGTGTAGTGTTTTGACCCCCTAGCTGTCTGGTTTCCTATTTGTGGTGTTTTCCTCTCCCCCAACTGTGAGAAAATCTATTTTACACGGTTTTAACCCTGTGTATTCTTAGAAACACTGAAGTAGAAATTATTCCCTTGGGGGAAAAGAAATTCTCATTATTTACAAGAGTGACTTATAAAGGTTTCTCTTAAATAGAAAACATTTTTGAATCACTTAGCAAATCTTTCTTCATAAGATAGATTTAAAAATAAAACAGCTTCTGGGTTTCCTTTCAAGGTAATGCAAACTTTTGGAAGATTAAGATTTTTGCATTATATAAGTTTATCCTAAGTTTAGTAAAATACTAACTTCTTAATAACAACAATGTACAGAGTTTATAAGTAGTCCTCTTATGAGGAGGCTTTTCATACATTTTTTTTTCTCCTCATTTCTAGCTTATTATATCTTTTATTCTCTACCTATGCAGAAAAATTAAAATTAGGCTGAACTTAGAGGCCTATATGGAGTAGTAATGTGGTATTCTAATGGGCTAAAAGACACCAGTGAAATTTAATAATGTAATCATCAGAGAGATGCAAATAAAAACAACTATGAGGTATCACCTCACACCTGTGTGAATGACTGCCATCAACAAATCATCAAACAAGTGCTGGCGAGGGTGTGGAGAAACAGGGTGTGGAGAAACGGGGACTCTAGTACACTGCTGGTGGGAATGCAGACTGGTGCAGCCACTATGGAAAACAATATGGTGTTACCTCAAAAAATTAAAAATTGATCTGCCATTTGACCCAGTGA